TTCCACACTACGTCCAAATGATTTTCCTTTCGTAATATCTACCTGTAAGAAAGAAATAATTTCCGAACGCTAAATTTTCTAAAGCTCCATGCTTTCGGATCAAAACGGAAAATACGATTATTTTAGAACAAATTTTTCAATCCATTGCACAGAAGGCGAAATGAATACAAAAATTAAAGCCGCTTTAAGAGATGTAACTAAACTGGAAATAAATCGCTTTGTATCTCACAGGGCCAAGATACAAGAGATATGACCAAAACTGGAAATAAGAACCGCTGTGTATCTTACAAGGCCGAGATACAAGAGTGTGGCCAATATATTAAAAGGAACCCACCAAATGAGAGATGAAACAACTTCTGCGATCATTATCCGGGTAACCTTCCTTGCTGTTGCTATAGCTTTGAACGGGTGTTGGTTTTGACTGGCTTCTTTTCAAGGTGCCCAACATGACCATAGTTAAATATTGAGCATAGAATTGCCAAAAGTGTCAGAGGAATGACAACGGCAAGTTTCAACGATATAACATTAACTTTTGTCCCTTTATAAAACTCCAAGGGCCTATGCATATGACAGAAGTAAGATCTATTCTGAGTCTCGAGGTGCCTGTTTGCAAAAACGAGTACCAAAAAAAAATAAGTGAGCATGTCCACAATGTCAGAACTGCTTTTTTAATGTTGCGAGAAATCGGCATCTCATCCAAAGGTCAAGTTCTGCGTAAAAGCCATCGATTGCAATTGCCAACAGTAGGAAAAAATTGGAGGACATAAAGGCTTCCATGAAATTCATGTAGCTTGCAAGTAATGTTTCCTATGTATCCACCAAACACAATCCGTGGTAAGAATTGACACGAACGGCATTCATCATGAACACGAATGTAATTAGAAGATCAGCGCCAGCTTGAGTTGAGATCTAGTAATTTATAACAGTTTTCATGGACGTCTATTTTCTTATTATGTGTATAATTAAAATAATTTCAAGTTGGAAATAATTTCCAAATAGTGACTCTGGAAATATTGTGTTGAGAATCAGTAGATAAGATTCCGTCTCTGCCGCTTTAATTTGTCAGTGTTGTTTAAGATAGAGTGGACGTGGAGTTTGAGAGATTAATCAATGCGATTCCTTTCTCTGATTTGACCTTCAGAACTCTTATGGAAGTTTTTGCTTTCCTTTTTTTCTCGTTTTTCTCGATATGTTGATTTTAAGCACGTGAACTCTTCTTTTTTTTCCATTAGTTAGATCAAAGCGTAATTCTATAATTGCTGAAGCTCCATACTCTCGGATCTTAATGGAAAAATACGAATATTTCCCCAAAAATGTTTCAATCCGTTTCTAAAGTTTGCACTAAAGGCGAAATAAACGTAAGGATTGATGCCGCTGAAGGAGACCGATAACCAAACTGAAAATAAAATTGCCTTCTTTTGCACAAAGCCGAGATATAACAGTACCATCGAAATATAGAAAGGAAACCAGCAGATGAGGAATAAAACAACGATTGCGATCATCATCAGGGTAACCTTTCTTGCTGTCGCTATAATTTGGAGCTGGCGTTGGTTTTGACTTGCTCCTTCTCCGGGTGCCTGACGTGAACATAGTTTGATGCATATTCCAATGTATAGAATTGCCAAAAGCGTCAGGGGAATGACGACGGTAAGGGTTAATGATATGACATTAAATTTTTTCCCTTCATAAAGTTCCATAAACTTGCTCGGTTGGCAGAAGTAAGAGTTATTCTTAGTCTCTAGGTGCCGGTTAGTAAAAACGGCTGTGGGACTAATGAGTGAGCATGTCCACAATAGCAGAATTACTATTTTTATGTTTCGAGAAATCGGCGTCTTATCCAAAGGTCGAAATACTGCGTAGAAGCGATCGACAGCAATTGCTACAAGTAGAAAAATGGAAAAAGATGGAAGGACAAAAAAGCTTGCAAGATATAAATTGCAAGTAATGTGACCCATATTTCCTCCAAACCACAATCCATGATAAGAACTGTAACGAAGATTTTCCATCAACCGCATGAATGGAATGAGAAGATCAGCGCAAGCTTGGTTTAAAATCAAGTAATTAATTGTAGTCTTCATGGAAGTGTCTGTTCGTATAATGTGTATAAGGAGAGAATTTCCGACTAGCGACAACAGAAATATTGTGCCGTATCCAAAAAATGTTAGGATAATTAAGTTAAAATCCATCTTTACTATTTCTTCGGTGCTCTTTAAGATAGAGTTCAAGAAGAAGTTTGATCGATTAATCAATATGGCTCCTTTCTCTGATTTCACTTTAGAAACTCTTGTTGTATTTCTTTTTTGTGTTGTTTTCTTGTTCTTGTTCTTCTTTTCTTCGATATCTGGATTGTAAGGACTTCGGAATCCGTTTCAGCCACTTCATTAGTCCCTGCTTTGATCAGATCTTCGGAAAAATACTTTAAAGGTGTTACCCAGCCGGAA